ACATTTATTATAATTTTTTTTTTTTTTTAATTTAATTTAATGCAGTTTAGTTTTTTTAATGAAATTTCATTTAATTTAAACTTTTTTTAATTTACAAAAACTGGGAGTGTCTAGAGATTCAAATAAATAAATAAATATAATTGTAATTATAATTAAAATAACTGAATTTCAGGATTCCACTGTAAGAGCTGAATGTTCTTTAGGTTTCTTTTTAACCAATAAATCAGCATGAATTTCCCAGTCATTCCTGATGTGCTGGACAAGGACTTCTAAAATCTTTTTTAACAATATTTTTTACTCACAAATTCGACCTGATAAAATATTTTAGAGCTTGGCATAACTAGTAGCATGTATATTCATTGTAAAATTACCTTGGAGTTTTAATATTTTATTAATTTCCGTGACTTTTCCAGGTCTAGAAATCATGAGGCTTCCTCATAAATCCAGGTTTTTCAAGATCATGTTTATCCTGTTCCTTCAAAGACGTGTGTTTGAAGTGTGTGTGTGTTTTCACAGATATCGACGAGTGCCGCATCTCTCCTGATCTGTGCGGTCACGGCACGTGTGTGAACACAGCCGGTGATTTCCGCTGCGACTGTCTCTCCGGATACGAGAGCGGATTGATGATGATGAAGAACTGCATGGGTGAGACAGGGCTGGACCGTATAATGCAAAAAATAACATCTGGATATTTTCAGAACATTTGAAGTTTTTGTAACGTTTTACTAGGTAGCTTAAAAACGTGACTACAGCTTGATTCAAGTCACATGAAGTTCAACGTGGTGTAAACGTAAAACAAATTCACTTGTTAAATATAGAAATGATGCATGAAATATAAAGGCAAATATCATACTTAAACATATCCTACATGTTAAAAAATGTAGGCATTCGGTTTTAGAGGTCAACTCAAAAGGTCAAGACGATTCAAACTCTTCCTCACTGCAGCAGTAGATGATTATTAACAGTGACTGAAAACAGCGGCAGCTTTCAGTCTGTCAGCATCAAGCACACATCAAATATCCTTTCTATAAACACTGTAGACATGGTGTTAAAGTGATAGACACAGAATCCCAATAATCCTGCTGTCGTCTGCGTTTCTAATGTTGATCAAAGAAAAAACCAATCACTCACTGCTCTTGAACTTTAAAAAAGATATAAAGACACTATAGTGTTACTTGATTAGCAGAATTAGTAAATTTCTGTAGGGTACCTGTAAATCACTGTTAGACCTGCCTGAAATGCACCGTTTCTATATCTTTATTGTATAGTTGGCTATTTTGTGCTATTGCTTGTAATTTGATTTGCTCTTATTTTACAACTGACTATTTACTACTCTAAAAATGTAGCCTATTTAATTTATATTGGTTAAGCTAGTAGTTTTAGCAGGTATCGAAACTGGAATCAAGTATTGTGATTTTTTGCTATTATCTAAAATGTTGGTGTCATAATTGCCTGTTTTTTTCCCGTGGCTGGTGAAAAATATTTCTGGCCGGTAAATTTCCTTAAGTCACTGGCCATTGGCAGGTCTGGCAAAAAGCTAGTTTTAGGCCCTGCTTACAGGTATTTACAGGTACAGGTAATATCAGAAGTGTCGTGAGAGTTGTGTTGCTGTGTTTCAGACATCGATGAGTGCGAGCGCAACCCTTTGCTCTGCAGAGGAGGTGAATGCATCAACACCGAGGGCAGCTTCCGCTGCGAGTGTCCAGAGGGCCATGAGATCGCTTCTGACGGCTCCGCCTGCCTGGGTCAGTGTGTGTGTGTGTGTGTGTGTGTGAGAGAGAGAGAGAGAGAGAGAGAGAGTGTGTTTGTTAATGTGATGATTTGAAACACTCCTTAGTTTGGTGGGTTGTAAATTTAATCAAAAACCTTCCTTTTCTAACACATCCCAAATTGGGGTTGTGTTTATTGTATGTGTTTTCTCTGCAGATATCAATGAGTGTGAACTGAGTGACAAGCTGTGCAGGAACGGTCAGTGTGTGAACATGATCGGACGCTATCAGTGCTCCTGCAACACCGGCTACAAATCCACCGAAGACAGACTCTCGTGCATCGGTAAGACATACAGACACTCACCGGACTGGCGTTCATATTAAATGTGGCGTTTTCTCCTGTCGTCACTTGTACTGTGAGCCTAGACAGCAGCTCTCACACTAAAGCAATCCTAATTGAGTTTGTCGTTACTGTTTCCCGTGAGTTAAACAGGCTGCTTGTGTTTTAAGGTCAATATTCTTGTTCGGTAGCCAGTGAAATCTCAAGGTCACAGTTTTAACAGCAGAATGCTGCCATAGAGGACATGTGGTCCTCAAACCAGAGAAAATCCAGCCCAAAGTCAGGGGAATTTAATAAATGTGCACTTTCTCACCCCAGTAAACTAAAATGAAGAAAAGTCTGGAAGCTGAAATGTTCTGCATGTGCACTATATTTACATTAGTACTCCCTAAAAAAAGACTTGAACCCTTCCCATTATAAACCGGCCCTAAAAGTGGATCTTTGAGCGATCCTGTTCATTACATTTGGACTTAAGTTTGGACTCTGAGTCTAAGGAACAAGAATCTGCAAAATATGTGTGTATATGGACATTATTTATGTAGCTTCTAATGTGACACACACACACACACACTCTCTCTCTCTCTCACACACACACACACACACACACACACACAGACTCTCACACACACACGGACAAACACTACTCACACAAACACTGTACTGACCCCTGTATGCTGATGTGTGTGTTTGTGTGTGTGTAGATATCGATGAGTGTGAGGACAGTCCTGACATCTGTCATGGCGGTCAGTGCACCAACATCCCCGGTGAATTCCAGTGCCTGTGTTTTGATGGCTACATGTCGTCTGAGGATATGAAATCATGTCTGGGTAAATCACACACTCACTCACTCATTCATTCATAATGAGGCTGAGGACATGAGAACATCAGCATTCATCACACAAACACCTGCATGGCTATTTGGACATGCACTGTGGTAATACCATAGTATTCTTTGAAGTACACTAAAGTACTGTGTGAATACCATAACACAGAGTTTCCCAAACTGAGGCTGACGAGGTGATGAAAAGCTAACAATGAATTAAATCATAAAAATGTAAAAAATAAAATGATTTTAAATAAAACACATCAAAATAAAATGCTAAAAATAATTAAATCATAAAAGGTAAAAAATGTAATAATTTTAAAATAAAAACCATCACAATAAAATACTTACTAAAAAATATTAAATATTTTATTTGTTTACTTGTCATGTGCTCATTAGTCGACATCGGTGAACTATGAACTGGCAAATGTGTTGTTAAATTATTGAAATATGAACTTAATTTCTCAAAGGGTTTCCAGCTGAAAAAAGTCAGAATCCCTGTCATAATGTATGAATATGGTACTCATTCAGTACTGTGGTAAATGTCAAAGTAGCATGCTGTTACCTTCTGATACCATCACAGTACGCACTCACTTATACATTCATACAGTACATACGTTTTCTTATTTAATCTGTGTGTGTGTGTGTGTGTGTGTGTGTGTGT